ATTGACTTCTGGCCCTCATGGGCACAAATACACATGTAGGAGGGTCTTTCTTGCCAGACTTTCTTTGGGCTGCCAGTCCCCAAATACTGACACAGGGACTTATTATTAATTATGAAAGCTTGGCCTTTGGCTTAGGCTTGTTCCCAACTAGCTCTCATAACTTAATTAACCTTTTTCTATTAATCTATGTTTTTCCATGTGGTTTATTACTCCCCTCCATACTGTACGTCCGACTTCCTCAGTGTCTCCCTTGGGTCTCCCATGCCAGATTCTAACCCGGAGTTCCTTTCTCAGCCCACGGAAGTCCCACCTATTCTCTCCTGCATAGCTATTGGCCATTTAGCTCTTCATTAACCTAATCAGAAGGTGTTTTTGTTTGTTTGTTTTTTGTTTTTCGAGACAGGGTTTAGCTTTGCACCTTTCCTGGAACTCACTCGGTAGCCCAGGCTGGCCTCGAATTCACAGAGATCCACCTGCCTCTGCCTCCTGAGTGCTGGGATTAAAGGCGTGCACCACCACCGCCCAGCTCAGAAGGTGTCTTAATAGACACATTTTCACAGTGTACAAAGATTTTCCCACAGCATACACACATGCACAAGCACACATAGCTGCATGCACAACAACTTGATCAGTCATGTTTAAGGGTAGAATTATCCAGTTTCTCTACAAACAAATTACAAAATATGAAGAAGCAAAGAGAATACAGACAAAAATGTAAAATATGAGAGTTTTAGATGTATGCTGGATAGTTAATTTATTTTTTAAAATTTCCTGAACTTGGAGATGGCTTGCTGTATCTGATGACACCAGTGAAATCTAGTGTAGAACCTTTGTGTAGTACAGCAGTTTTCAACTTGTGAGCCACAAGCTCTTTGGGGGTCAAATGGCCCTTTAACAGGGGTCCCCTAAGACCTTTGGAAAACACAGGTATTTACATTACAACTCATAACAGTAGCAAAATTACAGTTATGAAGTAGCAACAAAAATAATTTTATGGTTGGGGGTCACCACAGCATAAGGAACTGTATTGCAGGGTGGCAGCGTTAGGAAGGCTGAGAACCACTGGTCTAGTAGTATTCTTGTCACCCATTCAGGTCCTGCTTCAGAATATTTAAAGGAAAATGATGGCAAAGGTCCAATTGTAGGGAGTGAAAGTAGCAAGAGCTAGACCAGTGGTCAGAACTGAATAGTTTCCTGGGATATGAATCTTAGCTATTGGCGCCAGACAACAGTGACACTAAAACATCACTGCATGATACTATGATGGGATACATTACATTTGCAGTATTCTTGCGTGACATCTCCTAGGGGAACAAGGAGATGTGGATACTTATAGAGCCATGTATATAGAGAGTTTTGCATTGCTGAGTAGGGCGGAGCAAATATGGAATCATATATGAAGTATAGAGGGTACTAGACAACAGCATTGGCATTAAAGACCTTTCCATTTGTCTCACCCATGTAGCTAATAAAGATCCAATGAGATTGAAAATGGTCAGTCCTGGCTGTCTCTCCACCATTGCCAGCAGTCTTTTGTGGGGGTATCTTTGTGGATTTCTGTGGGCCTCTTTAGC